ACTCAACCAAAAGAACCCCCTCCTCCATTTCTTACCTAAAGCCTTCTATTTATACTCAAACACAAAAACCCTAAAAAGAGCATTCCAGAAAGGTTAAATGCTAATTTTGGTCCCTTAACTTTATGAAGTTGCACTTTTTTGGCCCCTTAATTATTTTTTGCACTTTTTTGATCCCTTAACTCTAAGAAGTGCACAATTTTGGTCATTCCATCAATTAGCTGTGACGTGGTAGTTAACTAATTCCAAATGGCACTTTCTTTTAGTTCTTTTGATGATGTGGCAATGATATGTCTTATAATTAAGTTATGGGGATAAATAAAAATGCTACATCATATATTTTTAATAAAAATAAATAAATAGAACAATAAAATTACAATATTACCCTTTCCTTCCCGATCCATCTTCTTCCCCCTCTTTCTTCCTCTTTCTTCCTCTTTCTTCTTCTTTCCTATTGTTGGGTTCGGTGGAATGGAACCCAACAACTAGTGTTCGGTGGAACCACCGAACCTAGATTAACTAGGTCCATGGAACCCGTCGAACCCAAAAGCTGGGTTCAACGAAACCCAAAAGTTGGGTTCAACGAAACCCAACAACTGGGTTCAGTGGACCCAATTGATCTAGGTTCGATGGAACCCAAATCTATTAAGTTTCCTCAAACCTAACTTTTGGGTTTGATAGAACTAGCTGATCTAGGTTCCATCAAACCTAGCAGCTTGGTTTAGTGGAACCCCAGATCTACTAGGTTCCATACCCAGATTAATCTTGGCTTCTCTTCCTTCGAGAAGCAGTTCTACAGAAACTCAAGGAGATGTGTCCAGTTTCCTACAGTGCCTGCTGTTTGATACAAACGTAGTTGCTGCTAATCATAAGTCTAATCGTTAAAGAGACTTCAAGAAGCTCTTGAATATTGCACTTGGTATTTCAAAATAGTTTTAGGATTTGGGTTCCAATCACAAAAAGTTAGTTTGAAGTAATTGCACATAATGCATTTGAGAAAGTATGATTTTGATTAAAATTATATAAATACTATTTGGACTGTTTACGTAAAATCAAAAGTCAAAAATATGGTTTGAAATAATTTACGTCAAAAATAAAAGATAGAATTCTGATAAATTTATCAAAAAAGAGTGGATAACTTTGGAAGGCAAGGAAATACGTGAGTTGGAATTCAAATCAAACTAAATGATTTTTGGAAGAGTTTCCAATGGATAAATTTAACTAAAATTTAGATATTTTCAGTTAATAAACTAAAAAGGAGCATTTGTTCTCAATAGACATCTTGTCCCTATAAATATGGAGTTATCTCTTCTTCTTCTTAGTCTCTTGAACACAGAAACAAATCCCTACTATTATTTAAATAAAATGGTCTCTTTTTGTGCTGTGATTGCTGCAGAAATCCTTATACAAAAACTATTGTTTTGTCTCTTTCTAAAGGACAGTTCTGTGGTTGATCTTACTATTGTAAAGGCAAGATCAACAAGGCACTTCATTGTATCCTATGAGCATTTCAGTTTACCCCCCTTACATACTAGATCTGGTGGAGGCGAAATTAGCTTAAAAGAAAGTGATATTTGCAGTAGGCCTTGAAGCTAATGATCTATTTTCTAATCCCCCAATTTTTAACAATCTTTAGGCTAATTTTTGAGGTTTTTGACATCATGGCTTACTGGATAATTGAAAAGAAACTTGTGTAACAAAATGCTTGTGACACCAAGGAGATTTGGTGTGCAACAATGGCAAAACAAAAGGATTTTTGGTGTGATTAGCATCATGTGATGGATAGTCACTAAGCGACGATGGGTCGATCAATGATCGGATAAAAAAGCAATCATAAGCAATTGTGTGATCAATTGATGATCGATTAGTGATGATGGATTAATTAATCACTAGATGCAAAGGCAATATAGAGGATAAAAGATTCTGCTAGTTTTTCATCTACGATAACAACCAAAATGTTGATGTTTTAATGGAGGATGCTACACACTAGACAATAAAGCAAGGAAATCAATTTTCATGGAAGATGAAACAACGGAGACATGATTTTGATCATAAAGGAAGCAATCGGAATTTCCAAGTCTAAAGAGGATATGAAATAGAAATGAATCGAGATTTACTACAATATCGAAACAGACACGAAAACCAATAAAATGATAAATAAAATAATACGTTCTGGAATTAGAGATAGAACTTTGAAAGTGGGGTTTTCCACACGGTATTTGTCCAACATGAAAAATAATTGTCAAAGTCATGAAAATGGATGGGATAATGATTGTCCAATCAGCAAAGATGTTAGTGGGATGGAATGAAGATGGAAGGTTAATGGGGACCTAAGGAAAGAGACGGAATTATAACTTTCGATAAGCTTATCAGTTAAATTTAAGTTAATTTATTTTAATTTAAATGTAATAAAATTGACCTTATTCAATTAAAAAGTAAAAAAAGTGGTTTATTTTATTAAAAAATCTCATATATGCTTTCATTCCAATAATTAATAAAAGTAAAAGGTAAATATATATCCCTTGGCCTTTTCACTTAGAACTAAATTAATTCTTACACGTAACACAAGAGGAAGGTTTTATAGAAAATTTTACAGACCCCATGTGTCTCAAGTAGCCATGTTATCCTTGGGTAGTAGGTGATC